ATCTTCACGTGAACGAATATATAAATCAAAATATACACATGCGTTCTCGGTCATGCGCACTGTGTATTCACACATGGCACACTAGTTAGATTATAATTTTCCACACTGGAACAGAGAAATTGTGTCTCTTTATAAATGTCAAAGCGCCCTCTGCTGACCATCGTGAGGTACTTGCATTTTCAGAGCTCAAACAAGGCTCTGTAATGGACCCCTAAGAGAAGCTTAGGACTTGCTGGTGTTCAGTGCTACATAAAAGTGTTTCTTCCAAACGCAATAGCATTTTCTTAGTTTGAAATCTCATTTGCTGTACTTTCATTTTAAGTATCGTACTTTTACTTCCTAAAATACGATAATAAAAAAAAATCTATGTAAAAAGTAACTACCCACTTGTTTTGACAAAACAATTAACAGAAACGATCCCTTAATTTTTCTGTAAGTGCACAGAATTAAAAAAAATCTATGGGGTGTGGTCTTCCAAGTAAGTGTGGTCAAGGACACATCAACATTTGGTGATAGTTTCTTGCTCTAAAATGGCCTGTGGCTTCAGAAAGCAGAAGTGCCATACCAATCATGACAACCATACTGCCAGTTCTAAAACACGGTGTGTTCATTTAGGAAAGATGGAGCTTATTTAAAAAAAAAACTATGGTGTATTTTAATTAATAACTTTGTTCCATGGAGGGGGAGACCTTCTCTCTTAAACATGTTAAGCATGTTTCTTTATTTGTGAGAAATTCATACATGTATACAATATGCACATTTCTTCTTCTTGCTTCCACTAAATCTCCATATCCCCCAATGTATCTTCTCCCTTACTTTATGTGAGGTGTGTGTGCGCGCACGAGTGTGTGTGTGCATGTGTGTGTATGTGAGTTTGTTTTCATGTGTGCATGTGTGAGTGCATGTATGTGAGTGTATGTGTGAGTATGTATATGTGTGCAAGTATATATGTTTGAGTGAGTAAGGGTGAGTGTATGTGCATGTGTGGGACTATGTGTATGTTTGTATAAGTGTGTATGTGTGTGGGTGAGTGTATGTGTGAGTATGTGTGTATGTATATGTATGTGAGTATGTATGTTTGAGTGTGTGTGTGAGAGATTCCATTCAGTGCTCTACATTTTAAGCTGGATGCAGTCTATTCTTATAGACAATGAGTAGAAAACTAGAAACACCAACCCCCAAATGTGTTCAGAGAGTGAAACTACTTTCTAGAATTTTCTGCTACCGAATTATAGTCTTTAACCATTAGGAGGAACTGTAAATGCCATTAAAATTGGTTTAGTGTGAGACAGACACTATGCTGATTGCTGATTGATGAGGAGTAAAAGTAACTCCTGAAGAATCTTCATGTGGAAAGCTACCCAGTTAATAGACTCAAATGTAACAAACTACCATCAACAACAACCAAAAAAAAAAAAAAAAAAAAGAAAAAAAAAAGAAAAAGAAAACTGGTTCAGAAAGACAATATGAAATATTCTGATTTTTATCTTTTACATCTACACATACACATAAAAATAAATCCACATTTACAGAAAATGTGAAGGTTAAGAAACATGGTTTTTTCCAGTTGACCTAAATAAGGGGGAGCTCATGCATAGGACTGACCCAGTCCCCCTGAACATGAGTGTTAGTTAGGAGGACTGGGCAGTCTATGGGGCCTCTGGTAGTGAGTGGATCAGTATTTATCCCTAGTATATGAGTGGACTTTGGGAGCCCATTCCACATAGAGCGATACTCCCTCAGCCTAGATACATGGGGGAGGGCCTAGGCCCTGCTCCAAATGATAGGACAGACTTTCAAGATTTCCCCCATGGCAGGTCTCACCTTCCCTGGGGAGCAGAAAGGGGGCGGGGATGGGGAAGGGGGTGACACAGGAGGAGGGGAGGGAGAGGGAACTGGGATTGACAAAGCTTGTTTCAAATTTAAATATATGTAAAAAATATGTTTGGTTTTTTTTCAGTGTTAGTTTAGCAACTACTGGAAATATTAACTCATCGTGTTAGAACACCAAATAAACATACAACATCTTTATTTGAGTATGTATCAAAACTATGGCATGCTTTTGCAAATATTTTAACTTTTAATTCTAAGAATAACTAGATAGGTAAAATCCTCTATTAAATTTAGCAGTAAATACTATGACCAAAATAACTCCATGGGTGGGATACAGAGGAAAGTGGCAGAGAATTTGCCCAGTACAAGGGAGGCCATAAACCCAATCATTGGCAACACAAAATGAAAAAAATCAAACAACAAAAATGTCACTTCTGTGGGCTAATGACACTTCACAAGTTACTTTTGTTTGTTTGTCTATTGGCAATCCTTGGCTTATAAGAGCAAGATAATGAGCAGAAACCAGGAATAACTCCTTTATCAGCTTTGGTGTCTAAAGCAAAGCTCTGGGGGCAAAGTCATCATGACTTCATAAGCAAGCCACCCCTTGCCTTGCAAGGGCCCAGAAGGATAGGACAAATCTATTCACAGATGCAGGCACCAGAAGACCCTGCAGAAAAGACCCTGGATGGGGCTCTAAATGCCCATGCAGCTTACAAGCTCTCTCCATAACACAGATCTGAATATTTTGTCCTTGCCTTCCATCACAGGTGCTGTAAGCTTAGGTGAACTGTGTGGCCTACATCACAGAGTGAAAAGCTCCAGGAAGACGGGGGAGGGGACTGTTCCTCAATGTGTGCTTAAGATTGAATAGGAGGTCTGGTACATATAGAAAGTCTGTGAGTTTTTTTTAAGTAAAAGGTGAAGGAAGGGAAGAGAGGCAGAGAGATTAATATGAAAGTAAGGGCAAGAAGGTAAGGCTATCAAAAGGTAAAAGCAAAAGCAAACCAACATGATAAAACAACCCCTAGTCTTTCCATCCACTAAGGCCATTGTTATGACCTCCATTTCCTGACAGGGCCCATGCCAAACTTAAGAAAAGTAACCCTTACATTAAATAATAACAGAGAAATTTAAAGTTCTGGCCTTTGTGTCGCATACTTTGGGACTTGGGCTAGCCAACTGCAAGCTAATGGGATGCCCCCATGCTATCTGAGATGCAGACTCTTGTCTCCCAGTCTCCCAAGCTTAGCTCAGAAGTCAGCTCTTACAAGTGTGGACTTACAAGGCTGCTAGTGACACCCAGTGATGTCAGGTAGCACACAGGACTGTTTGGTAACTTACGGAATCCCCACATCTGGACTTGGTTTTCCTGTAGAATCAGGGCTTCTGAAGGAAGGCACAGGCCCTCACTTAATGGAGAAGTCAAAGCCTGTGGTATTCAGGTCTCAAGGCTTTACTAGTCTATGAGGTAAAACCTCCCCCACTGCACATGTGACTGGAACCCTGTGTAGCAGGCCCCTGTGAGCTCGTGACTAAAGAGAAACCTCAAGCCCAGCTCTGTATTTCAGCAAGACTCTGTCCCCCAGTGGTTCATTTGACAGTGAAAACCTCAGAAGTATTGCATCGAAAAAAAACCAAGACCCATTATTATAATGACACAGAAAGTTGAATATGCAAGTTCTTTTGCATACATGAAAATCGATTAAGAAAACAAGCACCCCGAGGAAAGGAATTTCTAGGGGTGGAGGGGTGGGGGGAGGGAGAAGAATACAAAGCATGCACATACATAGAAATTTCACAACAAATCCCATTAATTTTTATTAACTATAAATTTAAAAACCAAATACTAAAAACATGGTAAAAAAGCCATAAAACATGATATTATTGATGGGACTGATATTTTATATACTTAAATAGTTCATATGAACTAGGAGAAAAATGCAAATGCCTTAATATAGAAGGTGACATGTATTCAAAGAGGAGGGATTTGCAAAAAAAAAAAAAATCAAAAAACAACAAAAATAAAACAAAAAAAAAAACAACAAAAAGTGCAAATCAGAAAAATTAAAATCCATATTCAATTATCAAATTCTCAAATTTTATTGTAGCTGAATTGGTAGAGCCTAGAGATGATGCTACCCACTCCTATAGAAAAGATTTGTGGGGATGGGTATGGGGGAGGGTGAGTAGGCACTCCCTAGATAAGCACACACCAAAGTTAGGTGGGAAGAACAGGCAAATCAGTGTAAATTTCTACAGTGAGGGCTGACACTAAGTATCAAATGTGTTAAAACTGTATAAATCATTTCACCCAGAAATCCCAATTATATATCTTTTTAATGAGTCAAGAGTGACATAAGTACAGAGGGCTCTAAAGGCATTGTTCATGATGTAGTAATTTGGAGACACACTCTGTGTCAACACTTGTTTAATTGTGTCCAAATGGTGTTACTACTATTCAGTCAGTAAAAACACTGAGAAACACCTAAAATGAACACAGGAGAAAAATTACAGTTCTGCACGCAGGTAGGCAGAAAGACTGTCAGGAAGCATCCCAATTGTTACCCACCCTGTGTATTGTGGGAACATGGATGGCTTCATAGTGTGTTCCTAAGGATTCCAAAGTTTCCCCAACCCTGCTTCATTGCCTCTTTAAATAGAGCTAGTGCACCAGGAGAGCCAGCCAGTTCAAGCTAGTGTAGACTAGGGTATAAAGGCAAACTGGAACACTTAGGAATTTCCTTAGACACAGCTGTTTTTTGAAGTTAAGTGGTGTAAATGCATAATTTCCCGAATTTCAAAGGGTAATAAATACTTAGAAATCACTACTTATTGTTCATCTGCCACTGAACTTTTTATCTATATGTACATATAGATAAAGTTAAAATATAGTGTATTACTTCTTCCCTCCTCTTCCCGCCAATTGACTCCTGTATCTGAAATTCATGGCCTCTTATTCTTTAACTATTTTCATTTTACACACACACACACACACACACAAATTAATATATAAATACAACTTGAGAGATATTTTTAATAAAAACTCTAACTGATATTAGTGTCCGAATTCCCCTTATGTTTCATAAGTCCTGGTGTCATAAGTGTACCTTCTGATTCTTCTGGAGGGAATAGTTATACACAGGGCACCTTCATGTGTCATGTACCTGTGGTCACAGAGCAGTCTGCAAACGAGGTCTCTGGTGAAGAATTCTCTGTGTCCCTGGCCTCTGTCTCCAGACTTGACTCATCTAGAGCAGACAGAATGGACTCAAGAGCTTCAGGCCCATCTTCCTGAGATGACGAATTCTCCAACTCTGTGAACAGTAACCATTAGATGTAAATGGTAGGGAAGCACAGGTTACTACCCAGTGTGTACAGATGACATTAGTGTTCTGAAAATACATCAGGGGTTTGTTTCCCATACACTGTATATATTTCCAAACATTGATACTACAAAACACCTAGCACGTGTTACTTCGGTACAACACAATGACACATATTTTTTAATTTATCATGATGACAGTTGAGTATTTTTGTAACAGATTTTATATAAAAGGCAAGCTAATTAAATACCAGTCGAATCACAAGGTAAGTGAGATGACTTCCCGCCTGACCATTGTCTTTGGGAAGTCAATCACTGACTGGATGGCTTCAAGCTATATTTAAGGCTGAATTAATAGAAATGCAAATTGGGTGGCTTTCTTTAGCTTTTACTTGCCATTTTGTTTCTGCCTCTGTGTTCATGAGATGTACGTCTGCTTTAATGTCAGACTGAATCCATGTGTTTTGGATTCCTGGGAATTTTTTTTTAATTGAATGAAATATTCTATTTTTTCTCCACTTTTCTATTTTGCCTCACCTGCTCTTTGGCCTCCAGCACACAGGGGGATCCAAGCTGCAGCCTGTGGGCCATGTGTGAACCCAGCTGCACGAGGGAACTTATGAATGCAATCCAACACAAACTCATAAACCTACTTAATACATTATGAGATTTTTTTGGGCAATTTATTTTTTTCTTTGTAACTCCAGTTTGGGATCTTCACCATGTGTTTCATAGAGGGAAGCTAAGAAAACCAAGTGTTTCCTTGTGAAACTTCAGCCTGTCAGAAGAGTCTGAAGTCCTAAATAGTGTCTTTGCAGACTGACCCACTCCAGACAGCATGGGGGAAACCCATCTAGCCTTGCATGGAGAATTTCCTGAAGAAAATACTTGTGTCTTCAGATGAAGCTAAATTGACAATATTTATTCCTAGCTACTAGCTATTACATGACTGCCCTGCCCCTTTAACACATGAGGTGATCCAAGACATTCGATCACAGCCTAAAGAAACCAGGCCACTCTACCAACACCTAACTCATGATCCTTCACTGTACAATACCTGGCTACTGGTTCTTCTTGCCATAGCCAGTCACAGACTAAACCACATGGTGCAGAACTTCCTGAATATGCTTTTCCCTGAGCCTCTCCCAGGCTCATTATCCTCTTCCGGAAATGTTCTCTCTTTACTCCTACTTCAAGCTACTCTTCTGAATAAAGTCCCTCTGTTGCTGGGAGTGGAGCCTCCTCTTTTTAAAGTCTGCTGGGGCTGTTTCACTGCTGTCTTCTAATGGTCTCCTACCTCAAGGCCTGGTCATGGTCTTGAGGCCTTTTCTACTAATAAACCTCATTCCTGAATGGCAATTATGTGTCAGTTCCTTTGAGTAGCCAACAACAGTGAGGGACATTTTCTCTTTCTTTATTTAACAGTTACTATGGTTTAAGATTACAGTAGTCAGGAGCTGGAGAGATGGCTCCAAGATTTAGAGCACTGGCTGTTCTTCCAGAAGAAAAGGTTTGATTCCCAGCACCCATATGGTGGCTCACAGCTGTCTGTAACTGCAAGGATCTGCTGCTTTCTTCTGGCCTCCTGGGGCACCAGGCATGCAAGTGGTACACAGACTTCTACTCATACATATAAAATTAAATAAATAATAAAAGATTAAAATAGTCTATCTACTTTATACTTACCACAAAGCCATTTTTTATATATTGAATAACATACTTCTCAAAATAACCTAGCTGGTAAGTGATATTTTTATCCCTTTCACAGACAAGGTGAAATCCAAGGATGTGTGGTAACTGACCAAAGATAACAGGTCCAGGGTAAGAGCCAGGAACATAAAAGCATATGGACTTCAAGTCTTGGACCCTCTGCCATGGAAACATACCACAGCCTAGGTGGTTTAAAGAGAAGAAATTTAATTGGTACAGTTCTGAACATAGTTAATCAACTGTCATGGTGCCAGGGGGGCTGAAGCCTGTTGACACATCTTCTTAGCATACTCCCCACCTTCTCTCTGTGTTCTCAATGACAAAAAGAAAGATGGCTGTTTTACTTCCTCATCTAAAAAGCCCACAATCATTGCAAATTAGGGCCCACCTGTAGGACTTCATTTAAAGCTAACAACTTCCTGAAGAGAAGCCCTTCAGATATACTCAATATAGGGGTTAGGGCCCTGAGGCAGGAAGCTGGAGGGGGATAAAATTTTCTATATAACCTTTGGTACTGCTTCCTTCATTAATATCTTCAGTGCATGCAAAATGCATCCATTCTATCTCCAAAGCCCTTGATGTCTTAATGTACTCCAATCTCATGAGAGGTCTAAAGTCCAGAGCCAAATATTACCTAAATCATGCATGAGACTCTGTGTGGCTGACCCTGAGGTAAATTCCCCTCCATTAGGGGACTGAGAAGGCAGACAATTATGACCCCAGAATATAGGCCTGAAACTAACACAGAACAACATTCTTTTCCAAAAGGGAGAAACTGGAATGGACAGAGGCAATGTCTCTTAAACAAAACCTAAACCTAGCAAATAAAGCATCTATAAACTCTTACAGGACACGAATATTTCTCCTGGATCTGATATTCTGTCTCCTTAGCCCCTTCTGTAGAATCACTCCAAAGCCTGGAAGGGCAGCCTCTGTTGTTCTCTCTGATGGAGATAGCATTGTGGATTGTTGTGAGGTTCCCCCACCTGCCTCTGAGATACTTCATTAAAACCAGTGGGCCATCTCCACCAGCTGACACAAAGGGGAATAAATTATCCTGATGCTGGGTCTGTGTACTCTTTGGAGTCATTCCTTCTCTTGCTTGAAGAACAGCTTTCTGGCCTGCTTCTGTAGGTCCAGGAAGCTTCCCTTATCCACCTTGCTTTTTCTATTTCTTTTTAATTGAAAACTATGATCTAACATCTAGCTGACTTGACCGATCCCACCCATGAACCACACCCACGATTTACTCTTTAGATGTTGGTTCAGCCATACCTTCATGTTCTCTCTCTCTCTCTCTCTCTCTCTCTCTCTCTCTCTCTCTCTATCTATCTATCTATAATCTCAATAAGCTGACATTTCCCCAAATCTCTTGTGTTTTGGCCTCTTTTAGATTAATGCTTCTTCATATTCTCTCACATTTACCACAACTGAGCAGGAGAAACAAAACCATTCCTGTTCTTAGCGATCTACCTTAGGTCAGGTGGTGGTGGCACACACCTTTAGTCCCAGCACTCAAGAGGCAAAGGCAGGCAGTTCGAGGCCAGCCTAGTCTACAAAGTGGATTTCAGGACAGCCAGAACTGTTTCTCAGAGAAACCCTGTCTCTAAAAACCAGGAAAAAAAAATAGCAAAACAAAACAAAAGCCAAGAAATGTGCCTTGGAAAGGTGCTATGGAGACAGTTCAGTGGATAAAGAGCCTGACACACAGTGTGAGGATCAGAGGTAGAACCCCGGGAGCCCGCATGGAGCAGCGAGTGGTAGGGCCCATCTGCTTTAAAGTCAGTGCTCCTCCTGAGGTGGGAGGCGGAGGCAGGAGACTGCCATGAAGTTTTCAGGATAACTAGCCTGAAACACACACACACACACACACACACACACACACACACACACACACACACACACACACACACGAGAGAGAGAGAGAGAGAGAGAGAGCTCATGAAACTCTTGTCTTTTTTCATTTTTTAAAAAATTCAATTAAACTTTAATTAGATCATTTCTCCCCTTTCCTCCCTCTATCCCTTCCTATGTCTCCTGCTTCCAACCCCTCCCACGTCTTTCCCCCACTTCTCAGACTGGTGGCCTCCTTTTCTTTAATTTTTATTGTTACACACACACACACACAGACACATGAGCACCTGCATAAATATAATATACAACTTGCTGAGTCCTTTTGGTTTTGATTGAGTGTGTATGATTTCAGAACTGGCTACTTTGTATTAGATAATAAATTAGGGGGTACAATGCTGGGGCCAGACAAATTCTCCCTCTTCTTAGAAGACATTAGACATTAGTTTCTCATAATTTTTTCTTTCTTTCTTTTTTTTTTTTTTTTTTTTTTTTTTTTTTTTTTGGTCTAGGGAGGCCCCATAAGACCTCCCACTTCTGCATTACTATGTCTATTGGTATTGTCATTGTCCTGGTCATATTGTTGAGGTGTGATGGGTGTAACTTCCCTGTCATTTCTAAGAGACACAATGTCACAGCAGACTTTTGGGTTAGCCCCTGAGTCTTGGGGGCAAGAGTTCTGTTTCAGATGTATCCACTGGGGCTGGGCTCCTCACAGTCAGCTGCTGATTTATGACCAGTTGCCACTAATAACCCTCTCTGTTGCAAAGAGAAGTTTTTGTGGTGTGCTGTGAGAAGTACACATTACGGGTTCACAGGTTGGGGTGTTTGAGCTAGGCTTGAGATAGCAGCAGGCAGCCCTATCTGATATTTGAACCTAGCTGGACTCACCTTTCCCTAAAATTCTTAGTAAATTCCAAAGAAAACAAACAGCTTCGAGCCATTAGAGCCTCATCTATGTTTACCTCAAACATGTGACGCTGTGTAGTGTTTATCTCAGCAGGGAAGGATAGAAAACTACTTTGCCCAGCCATCTAGATGTTGCTAGCCTCTTCCTACTGGTTTCCATGTAGCTTATTCATATCATTTTATACTCCTTCAGTGTTTTCTTATAGTTCACAGTAAAAGTGATCTGATTTTCTCTATCTGAGCTTTTCTACTGCATCTGCTTCTGCCTCCTTGGATGTAATAACAGGTGATGGAGATGGTGTAGATTAATCACTATAGACGGTTACAGATGGATATAGATACAGGTACACCCACACCTGTAATATTAGTAGAAACATTAGAACTTTCTGGTTGAGGAACCATGGAGCTACTGTCTGATTGTGAAAGCTATATTAATTCCTTCTGATGAATATAGTGAAATATATTTACATATTTCAGAACTTTAAACTACCATGCAAAAGTAGAAGATTTTCATAAACCACACAGTAAAACATAGCAAATGTTTCTCTTACAATTTAGCAACATAATTGAACTAATCACAGTTCATATTAGGTGAGAATTAGGTATATTGGTAAGAATAAGCTTTTTATAGTATTAATAAATGAAAAATATATTTTCTTCCTGTTTATCTGTCTTTCTAATGTTAAAAATATCTTGATAAAAATTTGAGGTGATTATCTCATCTGAAAAGTGAGATTTGACTGACAGACTGTTGGTGAACTGGTGGTCATTCCAGTGTGTTAGTGGGGGTATCTCATAACAGAGTCTTTCCCACACATGGGCTTTCTCATTTGTAAAGGAGATGAAATCAATTCTCCCCATTTAAAAATGTTAACTCTAGAAATCCTGGTGCTTCACATTACAGATGGAGGCTTCACTGACTTCGCAATCGCACTGTATCAAAACCTCAGTGACAGAATTACGAATACCTGCAATGCTTTCCGGGCAGCCGGCACCTGTTAACTCTTGGCAGAGGGCATCATTTCCAGTTTGGCGAAGAACATCCAGGAAAGTAGAAAACCAGTTTTCTTTGTGCACAATCCTTCTCAACAGCTCTCTTACACCTGACTCATTCCCAGCATTTCCTGCAGCAGAGATCTATCATTTCAATAGAAAGGAAGGAAGAAGAAACACTGTCTGAACATTTGAAAAGTGAAAATATTACAAAGGAAAATTAAGGAGTTAGGCATGCGTATAAACTAAGGCTTATATTCAAACACTAAAGAAAACAGCAGTGATCCAATGCACCTATTCCAGGGCCTACTAGGGGGAAAAATCATTGAGCCAAATCCTCTTCTAAATATGCAATATTTTTTTAATCCAGAGAATTGTTTTAATTAGGCTGATGAGGTTGCTCAGTGGCTAGAGGCACTTGCTGCTAAGTTTCATGTGCTGGTTTCACTCCCAGACGCCACATGGTGGAAGAGGAAAACAAGTTCTTACAAACTGTCCTCTGACTTTTAGGCACACATCACTGCACATTTCCTCTGTAATTCCCACCACAAACGAAACTCCAAAAGAAAAATTTAAATAAAAAGGAAATACTAAATCATTGAGAAATTAATAAATGCTTTGCTTGAGCTGCTGTGACCAAAACCATGAGAAAGTATCTTCAATCTGTATTCATGTTAAGGCTAGTGTGTGTCTATGTGCATGTTTGTGTGTGTCTATGTGCATGTCTGTGTGTGTATGTGTATATGTGTATGAATACGTGTGTCTATGTGCATGTGTGTGTATGTGTTTGTGTGTGCTTTTGTGCATGTGTCTATGTGTATGTTCGTGTGTCTATGTGTATCTGCGTGTGTATGTCTGTATGTGTATGTCTCTGTGTGTCTATTGTATGTGCATGTGTGTGTGTCTGTGTATATGTCTCTGTGTATATCTTTATGTGTCTGTCTGTGTGTATGTATGTATATGTCTCTGTGTACTCCTTTGTGCATACATGGGTAAAAGCCAGAAATTGACCTTTGCTGTTTTCCTTATTCACTTCTCTTTATTTCAGGGGCTAATTGAACTAGGAACTTGCTATTTTGGCTAGACTGGCTGATTGATGAGCCACCAGGTCTGCCTATCTCTGCACACCAGAATATAAGACATTTCTTTCCTATATATTTTGGGCTTGCTATTTTCTTTCAACTCATAAAGTTTATAAGTGGGGAATCAAACATTTCATGGCCTCTTCCTTGACTGTTACCAATTTGGAACTAAGTAGTTAGTGATGCAGATTTATCTTCTTGCCTATTCAATATTTACAATATTTATTATTGCAATGATAATATTTCTCCAAATTTTTGCACATTTCAATATTCCTTTTGAGATATGAGGAAGAATTAATTCTCTCTCTCTCTCTATATATATATATATACATATGCATATGTGTGTATGTATGTATTTATATATATATATGTATGTATGTATATTCTTTACAATATATAATCACCATTTGCTTTTTCTTTATAATAGTCTAGCATATCATTTTAAAATACATTATCAAAGCACGTCTTTCTAGGTCTGAACAAAGTAAGAAACATCTGGAGAAAATGGTAATCACAAGCCATGCTAGCAAGACATTAGTCCACCTTTGCTATCTCTGACATCAAATATGCCACTTCCTCTTCCCGAGACTCACTTCCTACCCCCAACATTGTGTAGTTCTGCCATGCTGATTGTGCTTTGAAACCACCTTTGGAGATATAAAAACACGATGCACAGGAGATATCTGGAGAGATTCGACTTGACAAAAACCCAAACATGTTCAAATGTGTGTGTCTGTGGGGTTAGGGGTGTGTGTGTGATCTTATATAATTCAATCAGTATCTCAGATGAGAAATACTCTTAGATATTCTCAAACTTCCCAACCTCTACTAAGCTCTTTCCTACAAAATATATCTGGTTTTCTAGTCTTGCCATCGTATTCAACAGCATTATTAGATGAGGACCTGTTGGAATTTCTACATCAGTGCCTGCCACAAATATAGTACTAGCTTTCTCTAGGGATGATGGGAAAGTATTTACTTTCCCAAAGAGTTTATTGGTAGACAATCTAAGTACCTAGAGTGCTCTCCCGAATCTCACTCAGGAGATAGTTTCATCTTTAAAAATTTTAATTACCTTTTCATTTATTATTATTTATTTATGGAGTGTGGTGTGGGGCATACAATGTGCTTGTGAAAGTTAGAAGACAACTTCCTGGAGTGGGTTCTCTTTCTATCTTGTGGGTTCCTGGAAGGATCAAACTCAAGTTCTTTGCTTTGAGCAGAGGCTTTTACATTCGAAGCCATCTCACAGGCTCCGTTTTATTATCTGATTTGTATTGATTGATACAAATCTAATAATCCAAATAGCATGGGAGTGGCAACTACAGAAATCCTACGTGTATCAGAATCTAAGAATTTAGCACTCGCTAAGGTTCCAAAGCCAATAATTAGCAAACACAGAGTTGATCCTGAGTATCCCGGATAAATGATGGCTCCCTGATCTGTAATTCCCGCTAAAAATTCTCTCCAATCCTAAATCCACTTTCTGGCAATAAGTGGTTAAAATTATTATCTGAACTTCATATATTTTAACCTATCTCCCTTATTGCATATTCTAATCAGTTTCTTGTTCAATCCTAGTGTTTACTAACTTTGCTGGTAGTCTCTTGATGGAAAATCTTTTGCCTGTCTGAAATTTTATTGTTCTCTGGTAATCTGAAGCATAAATGCTATACATGTAAACAAGACTGATTTCACATTCTTATTTTAACTCAACATCCCATTTTTTTAATCTTTCCATCCTTTAAACAACTTTAACTATATCTGATAAAAATAATCAGAATTTTCTAAGGACAGTGACTAAAGTTTTGTAATCATCATTCATATTAAAATCCCAAGGGTACTCTATTAACCAATTTTCCTTCAACTATTAATCTATTAAGTTTATGTTTCCTGCTGAATCTGAGATTTCATACTTTCTTTGCCCAGGCATTGAGAATCAATGATGCTGTACTATTTTAATTTTTGAATGTGAAACTACATCTATCATTTGTTTTATTTTTTTTGATAGCTTCATCAATGTTCTCAATTTTTAATATCTTCCCTTTTTTAGTATTAGAAGTCACACTATTTAAAGTAATCATATTTGGTTACTCTGTTCTCTTGAAATGCGGTAGTGATATTTATCCAGCAGATAAGCACAAAAACTTTAACTCCCAGGAGTTTAATTTCTATTCACAATTGTAGCAAGAAACAAAATGATACCCTCCCCAACTGGAATTTTTCCTTTGATGTTAAAAGTGTTCATATGTAGATGCCATATCAATTAATTTATGGAACAAGAAACATGGGTGAATTTATGGATAGGATTGTTCACTTCTAGACTTTTCAGCTGAAATAAGTGGATCCCACTTATTTCATAAAGTACTGGATTTCCAAGACAACTATACTATTTAATATCAAAGTTTTCTCTTTCTCTTGTATTTTAGGTAGCTATTTAAATATAATAATGATCTTTTAAAGCCAGCAGAGTTCAATTTCAAACAACAGCAAATCAGGAAGCAAAATTCATGTCCTAAACAAATAATGTGTTCATGTTTTACCAAGTTAATTTTCATATGCACACTGATAATATCTTATTCGTACCTTTTTATTTTCTTGCCGCAAAGAGCCCTGTCCTCCCTAATTTGCCTAATAATACAATACTTGAAGGAAAAACTTACTTGGGCATTGAGCTTCATATTGGAAGGGCTAGACTCTGTCTATTTGGGTTATTGATTCTTGGCTTGGTTTTCCATGTAAATGAAAGGTATATGACCTCCAAGACTACAGGTGTTTAGTGATGTCATCCAGGGCTAAAACACACATCTGTTTCTTCCATATGGATATTACTGTACTGTGAAATGTAATCATGTCTGTCTTAGAGCTCTTCTGTGATCTGTGCTGATACACTCCCCCAAGTTGTCATTAAGTATCCTGGGGGAAACCGGCAATACGGGAGCATTTCATTACTGTGAGGGATCATTCTATTTTGATTATTTGTAAAATGAATCTTGTACTTATTAGTGAGTCTAGACTCACTAATGCTGCATAGAGTCTTCAGCTAGGAAGACTGAACTCCGATTAACACTATAACGTAAACACCAGACAAGCAGCGTCTCTGTTTTTTCTCTTCTCTTCTCACATTTACATGGTGCATGGCAAAGATGTCACTCAAATCATTCATTCTGAAAGGATGATGAAGTCAGTAAGTCAAATATGTTCTTGGGGTACTTATTCTCAAATTATCTGGGGGCCAGCTAGTGCTGGCACATGTGTGCAAGAAGCCAACATTAAAATAACTGATCAAATAGAAAATGTCTACAAGTCAGCTTCTCAGCCTTCAATTTTCTTTTTATTTACTTTTTTTTCTTTTTTCTTTTTGTTGTTTGGATTTTGCAAATTAACTCAAACACCAACAAAATGATGAAAATACTAGCACTGGTTAGTGTCTAGGTATTTACAAAGTGAAAGACAGTTTCTCTTTCAAGTGAATTTAATTCACAGACATTAAGAAGTAGGTCTTTATGTGGGAAATTAAGCTAAATCCCTGAAATTTGACCCCTAAATGAAAGAACAAAATGTGTGATAATCAAAATCAATATAATCTTCATATCAAAATAACTGACCACTTTTGAAGCTTTTTCTTTAACATTTCTCAGTTAGTACTGATATGAGGCCAGAACGTATTGTGCTATTCATTTTTCCAGGTTAATTTAGGATCATGGAACCAAATCTCACAAAGATAAACCTCCAGGCTGCACCTTCCCATTCCAAATTCTTGCTGTTGTAAGGTAAACATTCGATAACATTCCATGGCCCTTGTATTAAAAGAGATTCCTGATGGGAGATGTCATTCTGTATATGTTTCTCATACTGGTTAATAATAAAGCACTGTTGGCCAATAGGAAAGGAAGATAGGAGGGACTAGGAGACAAGGAGGAAATAGGAAGGAGGAAGGAGGAGTCAAGATGGAGAGTCTGGAGAAAGCAGTATGCCGCTGGCTCCCCAGTAAGAGAAATACATAGATCAGCAGAAATGGGTTAATAATTAAGGCAGAGCTAGCCGATAAGAAACAAGTAACTGGGCCAACAGTATTGTATCAAATACAGAGTCTCTGTGTATTATTTGGGGCTGGCACAGCAGCAGGACAATACCAGGCGGCAGACAGTAAAACCGTACCCGTTACAGATTCCTCCAAATATAACACTACCTTCCCATTATTCTTCATGTTTCGTTTTAGAGCTGATAATGTAAAATAACGCATGAGGAATGATTACAGACACCTACAGACTCAACCACTGCTTCTTAGCCTCAGATCTATCACTCTTCTTTCTCTCAGGGATTCCTTAGAAAGGTGAAACTGGGAGAAAGCTTGGGTTGTTTTAGCTTAACTGCTGCCAGTACACAAGAGTCCTTTTACTACCCATCTTCTCGATGTCAAATCCCTTGCATTACTGCTAGCTGCCTCCGAGCTTGCCAGAATCAAGAACTTGGATAAAATGTAGCTGGCACAAATTCAACCCAGGCAAGACAAAAGTGATGCTGATAGGCAGAAGTATTTAGAGTAAACAAGGAAAAGTGCGGATTCTCTGGCACTTGGGACATGGTACCAGCAAACATAAACAGCTTTGTGGTGTGACTGGACTCTGTTGCTTCTGGACCTCCTAACAGCTACTGTGGCTGGAAATGCCATCTTCCATCTCCAGCTGGCTTGGAGGCTGCATACTTTCTTCCAAATTAAGATTCTGCCACCGTGATGTACACATTTGTCATATCCAGCTGGACTACTATAATGCGTCTAGTCAGTTCTCAATACACAAAATGATATAAATGCAACTGTCAACAAATTCAAAGGAATTCACTTGTAGAAACTGGACATCAAAATGAGATGCGTACTTGGCTCTGGATAGTCGTGGGAGCTGCTGACTCTCCAAAGTACCATTGATATTAGTAACTAAAGGCCAAGTTGCATCACAGGCTAGAGCCAATCAATCTGATGGCCAGAATCTATAATTAAGATACAACCAATGAGTCAAAAGAAAAGGAAGAAAATGACAAAAAGCATAGCACAGTATACATGAAACCTTTGACTTACAGTAATGAATACTTTGTCCACACATTTTCAAATAAAGATTCTAAGTGTTATTTTATTTACTTATTTTGTTTTTATGTGTCAGTGGGGGTGGGAGTGGAGTGTGTCCATGTAGGTGTAGCTCAGGTGGGAGCCAGGGGCATCAGTGTTCCCTAGATCTCTAGTAGTTATACACAGCTGTGTGACACCTGACATGGCCACTAGGGACTGAATTCCCATCCTCTGCAAGAACAGCATTTGCTGTTAATAACTGAGTCATCTTTCCAGCTCCCGAACAAGACTTTCAGCTTACAACACTGGGTAAGCCAGATGCAGAAAGTCCAGCATTTACATAGTACATGGTACATCTCTACTCTTGGACAAACAACTAACATTATATTAAATCACCTGCTAAACTGACCCATACAAATGATACTCCCGAAGATCATCCACTCCTTCACTAGTGTGAAAACCTAAGACTAGTATCATTTGTCAGTTGACTACCTCTAAACTTAACCAGATTCTAGAAAATAAGGAACCTTTGATTAAAGAAAAGAGAGAAATGAGATGTGATTTTTTTTTTTTCCAGTTTGGACCACAACTTAATGAGGTGCGCATACTATTTGAGGCATGGTTGAGGAACATTGGGGATCTGACAATAAATATTTTAGCTTTATAGGCCATATTACCTCCACCCAACTGTGGAAAATTAGTCATAAAAGAGTATATAAGCAATAAGAGAGTTTCAATAAAACTTTATAAACACTTAAAATTGAAAAATCAGACAGCTAATTACCTTAGCTTCTGGTTCTTAAAATGTGAGTAGAAGGCGGGATGCATTGGGTGGGCCACAGCTTGCTGATGGCTACTCTAAGAAGTATGTGAACTAAATCATAAAACTCAGTATCACCTGGATTTAGTCCATCATAATGGTGGTAGACATCTTCTGTTCTTCCTGGGAGCGAATTGTTTAACTTACCTGTTTTTCCTCATCTGTTAAGTGGCCCCTCTGTGGGTTATTTTGAACATGAACCATAAAAAATAGGAGCAGGTTTGCTCTCTATGAGGAAATGCATAAGCAACCCTGCTTTGCAAAAATCTTCCATGAAGGCATCTCCATCTAAAGTGACACCTACCCGATTTCTGTCCTCAGGTGTCAACAGTCCCTTCTCCACGCAAGTATCCAAGACATCGGTAATCAGGAGCTTGTCCACCAGAGTGGGCTGAAGGAGATTCAGCAGGTGGAGACATTCATCATGGGTGGTCTCAGAGGAGGGGGAGGGCAGATCGGCGAGTCTGACATAGCGTGCTGCTAGGTGGCTGCCACTGTGCTCCAGGCCCTCCACGAACACCTGTGTCCAGCCTGGCGGCCACTCCCCCTTCTCCAAAGTGCTCAGCAGCAGTTCTGCAGCGCTGGTGTTCCCACAGGTGGTGGCCTTCTTCAGAATCTGCTCTTTGGTTTCTGCAGGCAGAAAGATCAGATAGTCCAGCACAGGCTCCACCTCAAAGGACCTTTTCAACCTACTCCTGAAGATTGAGATGAGATAGCGGAAGCTGTCCTCTGTTGAACAGACATTCGACATCCTTGCTTCTCAAGGAGTAGGAGCGGAGTCCCCAGGGTGGGCAGATGATCCACAGGTGGGAGAGAGTCCCCACCTAGTCCGCCTGCGAGCGGCACGTACCAAGTGGCCTCAGATCCCTGGATCGATCGGTGGCACCAGGCAGGTGGCAGCTGGGCCTGGAATGCTCTGTTGCAGGAGGGTATAGACTCGGGACCACTCGCACTGGGCTGCTCACCCTCGCAGGCGCTTTATGCGCTACCCTCCACCTACAGATCATAGAAGTTGCAGGGTTAGTTTCTGTTTTGATTCTCTTCTCCCGACTTCACTAACGTCAACTTCCGGGCCAGAGAGTAAGTTTCGTGAGGGAGGAGGCGGCCCGTGACGCAGCTGATTAGGCGAGAACTTCGGGGAACTGAAAGGGAAAGCGAATTCTCCCTAGTGTTGACAAAGCAGGCGATGCTCCACAATGCTTGATTTGTGGGTATTTTGTCTTACCCTAGGTGTGCTGCTTAGAAGACCAGCCCCCCCTTGTCAGTTAACATGCAGAGGGCCAGGAAGGTCTCAGGGGAAAGGATGAATTGCACTAAACCCTGTTGGAAAAAAATGAGTTAATCTCATTTGTATTTGTGTGGGGGTGGTGGGTTGGGGCAAGTGGAGGGAGGATCCAGAATAATGGAACCCCAGGAGGCACTTCTGCAACTTAGGAACATTAAACCTCACACCTAGTGGGGTCCCAAGAACTAATTTGTTCCTTCAGGAACTGGGGCCTAAGTATAAAAAGTGAACTCTACTAAACAGCTTTATTCTCTCGTGCTTCGATTGGTAGTATAATATTTATACAGCTTTGAACTGGGCCTGAATAGTGACAGATGCAGGCTGACTTTAGCAACCAACTCAGTTTAGGAGGACACCAAAGCTGAAGGCTTCCTATCTCTCAGTATGTAGGTTCCCTGTATTCTTTAGTAGACAACTTTCTATAATAAAACAAGCAAACAAAAAAACTCTCAACAACTTATTTTTTATATAGCTGCCGTTCTTGGACTCAATACAACAAGTTTTGGCTGAAGCTTCTAGGAACTTAATTAGCAACTAATGTACTGCCTTGTAGTAAACATCAACATTTGTCTAAGTCATGAGAGAGACAGAGAATGAAAAACAGGCATCCACAGTGGGGGGGAAAAACAACAACAACAAAAAAAAAATGGCAGCTTTGTTTCAGTACAGAAGCTGCACAAATGTGAGTCTGTGGGTTGCTGTCCATTGCTGGAAATTATACAAACCAAATATAGAGGTACATTAACACTTTGAATATAATTGTTTGGAGAAAGGAAGTTATCGGAAAGACAAATTTAGGACAATTAATCTGTTAGGGAAGTATATTCACCAAAACCTGGTGAAGCCTGGGAGGCCTGGGGATTCTTTAAAAATCATAGAACTGCAGGGTTTCCATGAGCCTCATGACACCATTCAAAATAACCAGAGCAATGCATTATGACATGCTAACATGCCCTTGTGTTATTCTCTAGTTCATATAACATAGCTAAGAATGCCCACCCCCAAGGATTGTAAGCTGCAGCCTGTAAAATGTTTTATGAGTACCAAGTCCTTGATTTCTGCCCTGAATATGACCGCTGGGGCAGGCCTCATGTTAGATACACAAGAGAAGATGCCCAAATGATTGAAGGCATCACCTTGCAGCTCTCTCCCTTCTGTTCTACATAAAATGCTAATATTTCATTATTTAATTTTGGAGATTGACTTTGCAATCAATTAGAATTCAATTAGAATCTGCAAAAGGTATCATTTTGAACTATTACCAAACTTTATTATCCAGTTCCCTAGCTGCCTATGGATTTTGTTCAATATGGTACATCAGAAATTGACCAATAAACCAAAAATCATTCTAGGCCCTGGCATTTCCCGCCCCCATCTTCTCTTAATTTTAAACATTGAAGATTTAGGAGGATATGAGGACATGGTGTTATTAAAATAACAACAAAGATCCTGGTGGATACAGGGTCCAAGTAGTTGTTTACATGTTGGTACTGGAATTATATCATTCGTCACTTCAGAATAGTCGTCAAGTATATGGCCATCATTTTTTCTAAATGCTGTTAGTAACATAAAGTTCCTATTTTTATTGTATCCACATAAAGATAACAATAATAATTTTTAAAATACCCAATGTGCCAGATCAGGATAATTACTATGAAGGTAAATTAAGACTAGGCTGTTAAAACAGTACTGTGTTGGTTTGAATTTTCATCTAGATGTCCTTACCAGCCTTCCACTGTCAACACTCCATGATGTCCATCAAAGGCAATTTTGTATTTATTTTCAAATGAAAGTCACCAGCTGATTGAAGATTGAGTGTAGTACCAGAGGAAGAATAGACAGGAACATCTCTTTTTCTAAGATTTTGTCACAGTTTCAATAGGACCCTTTCTATAAAAATGATGATAAAAAAATAAGCTCCATTAACAATTTCTCAACAATTATCTTTGTTGGATCATTGAGATAGCTCAGTGAGTAAAAACACCTGTGAAGACTGGAACCCACATGCTAGAAAGAGAGAACTGACTCCTGCAAATTGTCCTCTGATGTTCACATAGTCACTGTGGCATGGGCACACACACACACACACACACACACACACACACACACACACACACACACACCATGAACAAATCAATGTGAAAATATGCTTTTCTTCACTTGTAGTTTTGCATGATGATTTACCTTCTGCACTTTTTTTCCATAACTGTTTCTCCTTCTTATATTTTCTTTGCTTTTACTTTCATCATCACCCTCGTTTTGTCCATAATAAGTTTCCATTTCTTTTCTCCTCTGAGAAACACTGCTGACCCATGTTTCTTTTCGTCTTGTACAGAACTGCCTATTTTTTGAAAACCCCCAAAGATCCATTCCAGGCCCCAATAGTTTCAAGTCACTCTTTAGCATATTGTCTAAGTGGTAACACAGGAAGATGCTAGACTAGAGCTTTCTATTTTTTCCCAGTTTTCATTAGAACTTTTAACATTAAAGAAGCAAAGATTGTAGCAAGCTTTCTTGGAATATCTGCCCCCAAATCATGACACAGAGACTTATTAGTTATGAATGTTTGGCCTTGTTTTATGCTAGTCCAACCAGCTCTTATAACTTAATTTAACCTGTTTCTCTTTATCTGTGTTTTGCCTCAGGGCTTTTTACCTTTCTTTCTTTCTGTATGTCCTACTTTTCTGCTTCCTCTGCATCTGGCTGGTTGGCAGCTGCCTGGTTGGCTGGCCCCAGGTGTCTCAGTCACTTTCTCTTTCATTCTCTCCCAAGCTTAGATTCCTCCTACAGCTTATACACTCTGCCCACCAGCCCTACCTCTCACTTTATGCCTGGTTATTGGATATACAGTCTTTAATTAGATCAATCAGGTGCCTTAGACAGGCAAGGTGAAACAGTTTTTACATAGTTAAACAAATGCAGCACACCTTTACATAAAGTAATATTCTGCACCATAGGTAAATCTTTACAGAGTTTAAAGTAATACTCTACAACAAAAGATGGGAGAGTCAAGAATGGCTCAGCTAGTAATGGCATTTGCTGCCAAGCCTTACAACCTGAAGTAGACCCAGGACCTATTTCCTATAACTTGTCTTCTGACATTTGCATCCTCCTAAAACACACACACACTCTCTCTCTCTCCCTCTAAATAAATGAATGTAAGAAAGAAACAGAGATGGTCATAGCTGCCAAAAAATGTAATAGCCATATGAAATATTATAAGTTTGTTTTAAAGAAAATGACATTAAATCCAGTTTTATGAGCAAATCTTCTAAGTGAATCCATCTTTGTATTTGCTTACCAAAGAAAGAACTCACTGTATGTAAGTTAAGTGTTATTCAATCTTAGCTGAGCAGCATAGAGTCATTGTGCATGGACCTTCCGACTTCAGGGTGCCTGAACTCACATCTAAGAATTGTCTGCTTAATTCCTGCATGACTGGCAGATCAGTTAAATGAGTGGCACCAGTGCCATGTCCTAATGTTGTTCTAAGGATGAACTGCAAACTGCTTACTGCAAGGCCTGGAATGTTTGTATACTCAGTAATGCTTCAGTTCTCCGACAATACAGAATTTATCAAGGCAATTGTTTAGTTATGAACACAGCCAGAACCTAGAAGCAACCAAAATGCTCAACTGAAGAATGGATGGAGAAAATGTGGTACATTTACACAGTGGAATACTACTCAGAAGAAAACAAAACAAAACCCCCCAAAAACAAACAAACAAACAAACAAATACATGGAATCTTGAAATTTGCAGGCAAATGGATGGAACTAGAAGAAACCATCCTGAGTGAGGTATCCCGGTCACAAAAACATGAGCCTTCATTCAATAGCTGATGGAAGCAGAAGCAGACACCCACAGCTAAACACTGAGCCAAACTCCTGGAATCCAGTGGCAGACAGGGAGGAATAATGAGCAAAGGTGTCAAGACCAGGCTGGAGAAACTCGTAGAAACTGCTGATCTGAACAAGGGAGAGCTCATGGACTCCAGACTGATAGCTGGGAAACCAGCATAGGGCCAATACAAACACCCTGGTCTTCTGGAGGAATTTTCTTAACTGAGGTTCTCATCTTTCCAATGACTCTAGTTTACGCCAAGTTGACATAAAACCAGCCAGCAAAAGCCACAAAACAGAAAAAAGAAATTCTGACTAAGTTTATTAGAACTTGACACTCATCACCTAATTATTTCACTAACTCACAATGTTTTCTAGAAAACATTTTTGGCTAACAAATCACATGCCAATGGTCATAATGCAAAGACTCACTCTTCCAATGTGCTCACTACAGCTTTCAGTACCTCTAGAGAACCATTCCTTGTTGTATGTCTCTATTAAAGCAGTAGCTGTACCTCAAATAACTGGATTGTTCTTCTAATTAAAATTAAATGCTTAATAGACTAGAAGGATGGCTCAGTGATAAAGAACCCTTGTACTTAGACTGGACTTGGGTTTGGTTCCTAGCACCCACTCAGCGGTTCCAGGGGATCTGATGCCCATTTCTGACCTCCATGGGCACCAGGCACATACACTTACTTACACGTAGGCAAAGCACTCATACACATAACATAAAACAATCTTTAAAAAGTGCTCAAGTAAATGCTAAAGAGAAAACTATTTTCAAATGTAATTAGACTGCTATCGATTTACTCTATAAGTGTGATGGTTTGAAAGAAAATAGCCCCCATAGAGAGT